TAAATAGGACTAAATAGGATTTTTGTGTGTGTTGCCAGTTCTGGTCTGTTTCAGAACTGGGTGTGTGTTGTGTGTATTACTTCCAGCGTCGGCTATTAAAATCCGACACTGGCTAAATAGGATTTTTGTGCGTGTTGCCAGTTCTGGTCTTTCCCAGAACTGGGTGTGTGATGTGTGCATGGCATGCGCGCACCCAGCTCACAGCACCCAGCACCGGCACCCGGCACAGTTGACAAAAGCACGTCAGGCACACAGGAAATCTATTTTTCTAGAATTTTATCCAGCTATATTGTGCGAACATGTTTACCCAAGTGGCGCTGAATATTTTTTACGGTCCTACGTACGGCCCAGGGTTGGCACTGACATTTTTCCAGGAGAAATATCCAGCTGAGACCTAGGTCCCAGGAGTCCTATCTGGATAAATCTATGTGCCTACCCCACCTATGCATGTCAACCGGGGATATTGTCTGAGAGTGCTCAAGTGAAGCTTTGCCATGACCATTACATTGACCATTAATTACACAAAAAAATGAAAATACATAAAACGCATACATGGAAAGAAATCATACAATCAATCACAATCAATGCCTGATGTATACTTAGAAGAAGAGCATCTATAGTGAGCGTGTATTCCGGCGCTTGCTGTATTGGGAATTTGTCAGGGGAGCCATGTCGCACGCACCACCGGCTGGTGAACCTACTGCATGTGGCATCGCTCGATGTCCGGGAGGTGTAAGGAAAGTCATCTTCAACGGGAAGCACAATGTATGGACCGTTGCTTGCGTGCCTTGCCTATAATTCAGCAGGTATTGTTTAATATGTTTTATGTTTTACACCGGTTTTGCAATTTGGGGCTTGGCGTAGGAAAAGTATGGGAGGTCTGACATGAAAACCCATGAAAACCCAGCATCACTGAGGACTGCGATGGGGTGACTGCCAAAGGACATGCTCGTGTGTCCAACCATGTTGCTATATAGTGACCTGCACGGATTATATAGTTTTTGAACCTTTTGTTCTGGACGTATTTTTCATATTTGTTTATATTTTTTGTTGTTGAAGATTTTTGTTTATAATTTGTACTTCTTCCATGATGTTCATTGATGACAGTGAATCCTGGTGACTAAACTAAGTAATGGGCAGCAATGGGTGTGGACAACGTGTTTGACGAAGACCCTTAGTACTTGGCGACAGGGAGGATGGAAGCCAGCAGAATTGGAGGATGAGGACGCCGGCGAGCAGAAGAGCAACCATGTGGGGTTGAGTGGTTCCGCTTCTGTTGCATCAGCCCCTCCAGATGCTGCTCCTGATGCCCCAGTGATTCAGGCAAGCCCTCCAGATGTCGCAGCCGCAGATGACAAAGACAATTCCACAATCCAGGGTTGCCTGGAAGTATGATATTTTTTAATGTTTTTTACTTATTTGACTTTTGATTTTTGGCATACGTTTGGATATTTTTGGTTACCTTCAGGCTTCAGACGATCCAATTTTTAAAGAATTTTTCCCAATGCATAGAGGTCCTACGATTGCACTTGCTTTGTGCGATGCTGTCGCAGAGGACCTATGCGTGAAAGGATTCTCAGAAAAGATTTAAACATTGTAAGGATGTGTATTTATGTGTATTTGTTTGAATATTTTTGATCTTTTTTGACCTTGTTTGTATTAGATTTTGATAGATTTTGCTTGTGTTTTTGTATGTTTTTGTGAACGCTAGTTCACAGCCATCGTTCAGGCTCCGAAGCCGCTTCTTCGCCAGCTGCAGCTATGGGCGCTAGTGCATTGAACAAGGATGATCTGGAGGCATTGGTCTCTACAGATTCTTCCTCAGCGCTGGATGGTCCCAAGAAAGGTCTGGGCATTGGCGAAACAAAACTTTCAAAGGTCCTCGCGGTGATTGCACAGCACCCTTTGTTGGCAAACGGTGTTGTCAGATTGCCTCACGAGGTCACGTGAATACTTCTTGAATCTATTTTGAACTTTATTTTCTTCTCTTGTATTGAAAGTTTTGTAGTTTGTGTTTTGTCAGGTGAATCCTGCATTATCGCTCTACCTAAGGTCTTCGAGGAAACTACAGAGGTTTTGGCGCACTTTGATTTTATTCCCGAGAGTCTCTACGCAATGGACTGGAGCGGCCAGCGGATGTTTTGGCAGTTGTTCATGGCAGAGGCGGCAGCTGTTGTGAGCTTCGCCAAGACCTACGCCAATGTCCATGGGCAAACTGGTGACGGTGAGCGCTCTTTGGCAGAGCAGTTTTCACAGATGCCTGCCGCCGAGAAGAGCAGATGGGTTCCAGACAATATCTTGGAAGAATTGCGCTATCTTTCAGACTTTGCAGAGTTGCTGGAGCATGTACGGAATCTGGGTGGTTTTCTGGAACCCTGGTTTTTTGTATAGGTGATTTTTTATGTTTTATTTGTGTGTGCGTCTTCTTCCTGGCTCGCATTCACAATTGAAATTAATCAAGGGGTGGGTAGGTACCATTACAGTTTTGGATTATTTAAATTATTGGGCCAGCTTCAATGGTTCAGTGGGTGAGCCAATTGACAGTCAAATTTTATCTCAGGGTAGGTACAGATCTCAAAGGGGTATGGATTATTTTTCTTTGTGCTTGGTGAGTCTGTGGAGTTAGGATGAAGACAATGACTGGAGTGCTTTTGAAGACAACTTGCTGGAACCATGGGCGCTTCCCAACATCAACATGGTTTATGGCGACTCGTCAGAACTTCTAATCCTGATTGTTTTCAATTGGATTTGGCCATCTTTTTGCACCAGTCTCTACCCCACCGAAAGATCCCATGGTTTTCCCAAGCTTACGCTTTGCCCAGGAGAGAGAACCTCTTTTCACCACATCATTCACTCGGTGGTGGCCTTGGCCAAGAGACGTTGGGGAACCCCTTGGCCAAAACATTTTGCGCTGCTGGACTATTCGGTGGCACAACGTTGTGATCTTGTCCAGTGTCAGGGCCAGCCAGACCTGATAGCGGTCATTGTGTGGCCTGGATTTGCTTTGAAGTTGGAAGTTTTAGTTCTGAGAGTGCGCCTGGCTGCTTAGGAGTAATATGTTTTATAATGTTCTTTATTGAATTGAAGCCGTTAGAATTATGTTTTCCTTTTCAGTGTCAGGCATAATGAGACTCATCAAGCATTGCTCCTCGTCCGGCGCACTGAGATGCAGGGTGTTCTATGGGATGGCCTGAGGACGGATAGCCTGGTCGACGCTAGCATTGCTGCTTGTCTCTTTGTTGCAGAGCACTTTGGCATGCCTTGGGATAGAGAAAAGAATGACCAGGTGGTCATGGGCGCTTGCCCAAAACAATATGACACTTGGAGTTGTGGGCACCGCATCATTTTGACGCTCAACTTCATTCTTGAGGTGTTCAAGAGCAACAGCAAACCATTGCCCGAAATCATAGTTCCAGACAAGGCCGTGAACAACAAACGGATTGCTAAGCTTTGTGGGAATATCACAGAGGTGAAAGATGAAGACCCGCTGACAAGTTTCCGGCAGCTGAAGAGAGAGATCCCAAGTTATGATACCAAGCCATCAAAGATCCTCAAGACAGAGCCAGCCCCAAAGCCCATGCAGGTTGAGCAGACGCCAGACACTTCAGCGTTTCCAGCAGGGCCAGTCCCAAATCCCATGAAGGTTGAGACGCCGAAGCCAGCGCCAGCAGCAGAGCCAGTCCCAAATCCCATGAAGGTTGAGGCGCCAAAGCCAGCG